AAGAACGCTACTAGGAACAAGTGCCACGCTAGTAGTAACAGGTGCCTGGATTGTTGGTTGTTCTCGGTTGTGGTTGTGGTGGTTGTGGTGGTTGTGGTGGTTGTCGTTGTTGGTAAACCGTCTTTCAAAGCCCCCGTTGAAAATCATGGTTTGGGCCTTGAACACACAACCACAAAGCCTCCACTGACCCACATTGGTGATTCATCTTTTTGGTTGCTCTTTGGCAAACTTGACCATTGGTGACAGTGGCAATTGGGCCCTGGCGGCTTGCAGCTCTTTAACTCAGTGGCCCACATTGGGAATGGTGCCTTTCAGGGTTGCAGCTCTGTGGCGAGCTTGACCATCCCAAACTCAGTGACTCACATTGGGAATTCAGCCTTTGGAGTGGCAAGTTATGTTTCTTCAAGAGAAGAAATCAACGCCACCATTCTTGTGTTCTTGTGTCTTCTTATTTTAAGTCAAGAGCAGGTGACAAAGCCCACGTGGTTGTCCTTGTGTTTAGAGTTGTTTGGCAAACTTGACCATTGCCCACAGTGGGAATGGGACCATCGAGAATGCATTGGGGGTTCAAGTGTTTTTCCCCAGATAGCTGGAAGCTATAGGGGTTCTTACTTCTCAATGGATGGGTTCCGGATTGCGGAAATTGGCTGCCGCTGCCGCCTTGCCAACAACAACGGGCCATTTGCAATAGGTTCTTCAATATTGCAAATCAAAAGATATTTGAAGGGCCATTGTTTCTTTTAAATTGATTTTTGTTTATCTTGTCGTTGTTGTGCTGTGGTTGTGGTTGTGGTTCTTGTAGTTGTGGTCGCCGTAACAGCAGTCGTCGAGGTTGTTGGGGATGTCTCTAAGAAAGCTTTGCTGTTGCCAGCCCCGACGGGCCTAATGGGACAGGGCCGGACCCACGGGAGCGGAACACTAGAGGACCAGCCTCGCTATCGGTCCTAATAGCGATGGCCTCCACCTGGTTCTCGTTAGTGTTTCTCAGATTCAGGTCATCTGACAGAAACTAAATTTAAAGTGCTAATGCATCGGTTGAGCGTCTGAAGTTTTGCTAATTCACTTGATTGAGCTCTCATTCTAATTTTGTGTGTGTGTGTGGGCGGGCGGGCGGAAACGGGCGGAAGCGGGCAGCACAACAAAACATCCACACATCAATGTGGGGAAAAAATATCAAACCGTTAGCCATAGAAAGTATGCAATTTGACATAAACCTAGATCAGGAGCTGAAGGAAGAGAGAGAGAGAGAGAGAGATGGGGATGCATAGATGGGTCAATGTATGGATAGTAATATTAGGAAACAACATGTTGGAGATCGGCGGATACATGGAGCGATGGGAGAGAGGCATGGATGACTACATTCCGCCTACAGAAGCAGCAAGCGCGAACGCGGATTTACAAAAGCTTTCATGTGGTCCCGCAAGGCAGGGTCTATTGCCTCGCAGAATAAGAAGCGGTAACCTTGAGGATGCGAAAAACTCAACGTCTCCCAATGTCTATAGACCTTTGAAGCAATGGCCTCCAACCTCTAAGTTCAATGTCTTTGAACACAAATCATGCCCTGGGGCTTCAGAAGAGGCACACGTTTCTTTTGCCCATCCACGAACCCAAAGGAAACGAACATGCAGTGGCCCGATGTTGAACTGTTTGGGGAAGCGGTATCACAGTTGGAAAAGTAGAATTAATACTACTAGGAACAAGGACGCTACTAGGGGCTCCTGGCATCGCTACTAGGAGCAAGAGGGCTCCTGACATCGCTACTAGGAGCAAGGACGCTACTAGGGGCCCTTGGCCTTAGCACCTATAGGAGAAAGGACGCTACTAGGGGCTCCTGGCATCGCTACTAGGAGCAAGAGGGGCTCCTGACATCGCTACTAAGAGCAAGGACGCTACTAGGGGCTCCTGGCATCGCTAGGAGCAAGGACGCTACTAGGAGAAAGGACGTTACTAGGAGCTCCTGGCCTTACTACTAGGAGCAAGTAGCTACTAGTAACAAGAAGCTACTAGGGGCTCTGGGCATGGCTACTAGGAGCAAGGACGCTACTAGGAGCTCCTGGCCTTACCACGAGGAGCAAGTCGCTACTAGTAACAAGAAGCTACAAGTAGTTCCCGGACAAGCCGGCGGCGGAAGTTTCCAAAAGAATAAACCTAGAGGAAATGGGTATGTGGCAGGCTGATTCGCCGAGCTGCGATGTTCTTTGACAAAACAAGTTGGAACCGACCAATGGAGCGAAAGCGAAGCAACCACCGTCAACGTTGTTCATGCATTTTGCAAAATACAGAATAGAGATGACTCAGCCGCGTACTAAAGTTGTACTACAAAGTCGCCAGTTCTCATCTTCCAGCTCTCCAGCTACTCCGCGTACTAAAGTTGTACTACAAAGTGGCCAGTTCTCATCTTCCAGCTCCCCAGATACTCCGCGTACTAAAGTTGTAGTACAAAGTCGCCAGTTCTCAGCTTCCAGCTCCACAGATTGCCCCACGTACTAAAGTTGTACTACAAAGTCGCCAGTTCTCATCTTCCAGTTCCCCAGATACTCCGCGTACTAAAGTTGTACTACAAAGTCGCCAGTTCTCATCTTCCAGCTCCCCAGATACTCCGCGTACTAAAGTTGTACTGCAAAGTCACCAGTTTTCAGCTTCCAGCTCCACACATTGCTCCGCGTACTAAAGTTGTACTAGAAAGTCGCCAGTTCTCATCTTCCAGCTCCCCAGATACTCCGCGTGCTAAAGTTGTACTACAAAGTCGCCAGTTCTCATCTTCCAGCCCGCCAGATACTCCGCGTACTAAAGTTGCACTACAAAGTTCACACAGTGCTGTGCCTGCCACGGAATCTGCACATGGAGGTTCT